GTAGAAATAGTAGTAAAATCACCTAAGTAGTAAAATAAAGTAGGGACTTGTCTCTGGAAAGCCTCGATAAAAGACGCCTACGTCTCCTCTGATGATGAGCGCTAGTGTCGCGGTAGCAACATGCTATGTGTTTACATCCATCGCAGCCATGTTTGTAATGACTTATCGCGAGAACAAATGTATTCACGCGTGACTTTAATAACATTTCTTACTTAACGGAAACACTGCAGTTGCGAAACTGTGTTTTTTCGACATTAACGGAATATCGACAAAGTTTTGCGCACATTTGCAATGGAAGCACAGCTACTGAAACATGTCAGCTATAAAACTGGGATTTTTCTGTCAGTTTCAAAAACTAATCATCAGCTAATGCAATGTGAAGGGGATGAAGTGCAAATAAACAAAAACATGTGTTGAATTACCTCAGGGCTCGATCCAGAGACAGTCCAGAGAAATCAAAGAAATTCAGGTATTCTGAAGCCACCAACTGACTGAACTCATTGCTGCAGAGAGACAAAGATCATCAGAAACCAAGAAAGTAATTTATTACAGAAATAATAAGCTTATCTATTCTACGCTGACCCTCTTAACATTCTGGTCATATATATCTGGTATATATCTGGTAATTTATCTGGGTGTATAACTGGGTGGGGGTGTCCTCACTTCTTGCCCAGGTGTCTGGCCACATCGCAACGCTTGAAGCCCTCAAGGTGATAGAGGCGGTTGGCCAGCCTTTTGGCGGCCCCACCATCAGCTCGGCAGCCATTGGCCAGAGTGTCTGTGCTTCCACGCTCCAGACGCTCCAGACTGCCCAGATCACACTCCTCCGAGTCAGACAGCACGTCTGTGAGATTGGCATCGCTGATGAGGAGAACATACGCACAAGGACACACAAACAAACACACATGCAGGAGATGAGGTTAATAAATTGTACATATTGATGCTGATTTAAACCCCACAAACTCAAAAAGAAAATGAAAAGGTAAAATTTCATTGCAAGAAATAGGTTTTTGTAACAAATTAACCCAGTTTCACTGTTTAATGACCTACTTAAAGTGAATACAAAGGGTGACTTCTAAAAGAACTTTATTTTTATCTAAGTATTAAAAGTAATCTTTGCATTTTTAAGATGTATTCTCAGACCTCAGCCTGTGTGGGTCAGATTTAACATGTCAGGGGTTACAAGTAGGTCACAAAAAAGGTGGTCAGGGAGAGAGAAGTCAGTTTGGACCACACCAGGTTTCACACTCTGATCCACTCTAAATAAAACCTCCTGACTGAATTTACACAGCTGTGAATCCATCCTGTTGACAAGAATGTGTCCACAGTCAGACTGATAAATAAACACCAACTCATTTAAATCATCCTTGTGGTATTTATGACTATAGAAGGAGCATATTTTCACATATTCACACACACACACTGTTTAGTACAGCTATTTTTGTAGGGACATTGCATTGACTTCCATTTATTTCTACATCCTAACTCTTAACCCTGACACTAAACCTAACCTCACAGGTACATACCTGACTCTAAACCTAACCTCACAGGTACATACCTGACT